TACTTTTGATGGGAGTGGAGGGATTGGGAGAGTCAAAGGAGCGGGGGGTTTGGAGTGGGTGGAGACAGCAGGAAGAGGGTAACATGCAGGGTGCTCCCCTAAGTCTGTTGTCTCTCTCCTCCCTTTTAAGTATTTGTATTTTAAGAAAACTGCCAATTCCCAAGCTAACTGTTATGGTACAGGCAGCTTAGTATTTTGGTCCGTTGGCTTGATAGGTATACTTTGATTGGTTGTATATTGCTTGTGGGTATCAAGCTTTGTCATATGATTGATGCTACACTATGAACTTGTGTTCAGACTGATTGATGAGAAGGCAAAGTGAAGAACTGTCTTCAGGCTCAGACTTCAAAGCAATTATTTATTATACTTCTGTAAGTATACTGACTAATATTTTACATGGTAAACATATACCAGGCTCTGACTTATAGTTACATAATCTAATAATTTATCTACCTTCTGAATGGGACTAGATTAATTTACGTTATCTGGTCGGCATGGACGAGTTGGACTAAAGGTCTGTTTCCATACTGTATGACTCTGTGGCTCTATGGGCACTCATGTCTCTGTGCTGCCCGTGTCTCTTCCTGAGAATCATACATTAAGACCGTGAGACAATCAGACATAGGAGGAGAAGTGGGCCATGCAGCCAATCGAGTCTCCTCTGACATTTTAGTGTATCTTCCAACATTCTCCATTCAGAAAGTACTGGCTCTGCCTACACTGTGATATTTACACCCAATGATTTGCTACTTTGTGAAATTACCATAAGTTTGCTGAAGGGTCTTCATCCCCTTACACAACAGGAAGATCAACTGAGTGTTTAAAAATGGCATGAGGGCTACCAGTGTTAGCACCAGCCCACCTATTGCGTTACAGGGACAGATTGTGCAGCTGCTAGAAAATTCCACACTTGCGGTTTCAATTATTCTAATGCCATTTTTGGAAGTTGCTGCCACATATGCCACTTGGAAGACCGCACGGTACAACAAAGAAATGAGAGAGAACATCATCTTGCTCATCTTTGTATTTTGCAAGCCCTCTACCTACTCCATTAAAAATATCCAGTGGTGGAGGTTGGAGGAGGAAGAAAGTAAAATTCAGCCATCAGCTTAGTTGTGATGGAATCCTTCAATCATACACTTAGATATTGTCTTTGAGTTTGTGGGACTTGAACCTGGAGCCTTCTGACTCAAAGATCACCAGAAGGCTATTACTGAACCCTTTAAATCAAGGAAACTCAGCTGAAGATATCACTAGCAGTCTGACAACTGTCAGCGACAAAAACACAAATTGACTTATTCCGTAAGTAACCCTTCACAAATGAATTATATGAAGCTCCCTTGGGCTCAGCAAGAGGAATACTATGGGGAAAACATATCACACTTCCTGTCTGCCACGCTTCTGTTGTGACACTTTAAACAGAATTTCATTTTTCAATGGGCAGACACATTCTAAGCAATTTCTGGCAGGATGTATTTTAACCTTTAAACAAAGGTAGTCAAATTGGTGACAGTACATTAAATAGCACAGGAGAAAACTCAACCTGACCAGACAGGAACTAGAGCAAAATAAAAGAAATCCCCACTGGATTTATTGCCAATTATCTTAAGTCCTTGTTCTCTAGTTATCGACCCTCCAGCCAGTGAAAACAATATTTCCTTCCCTGACTACACTGCCAAACCCTGGTGTAATTTCTATTTGTGTTTAATTTTGAACTGGTCTAGTAAATCTCCCCCTAACCTCTTGTGCGATAAGTAGAAAGATCCCAGCATCTCAAGTTGTTATGACCTTCCATGCAGCACCTATTAAGTTTTTGAAAGCAGATTCCACAATAATGCTCAAAAACAAATTGGGAACATGCTTAAAAGTGAGAAATTGACAGGATTTCAAGGTAAAAGTGAAACCAATGGATAATATATTACTGCCATGGTCACAATGGACAAATGACCTCCGTTTGTTCTCTGTGATTCTATGATATGCAATATGTTATCAAAATTCCAAGGTCAGAAATTAATACAAATTGGTGAGAATTTTGGGGTACTTCCCTAAATTTCAATGTAATTGAAACCAACTTTGAAACTAAATGTAAAAACAAACTGCAAAGTATGAAAATATAGTTTTTTTAACAAAAAAGGTAGAAGGTATGAATAAAAAGGGAAAGTGCTGGAAAAATGCAGTAAGTCAGCATCTGTTGAGAGAGAAACAGAATTAATGTTTTCAGTCAGATGTGCTTTTCTTCAGAGCTGGTTCAGTTTTTAAGAAGAGGGATATCAAAATGTTAGTTCTGTTTCTTTCTCTACAGATTCTGTCACATCTGCATTTCCTTTTTTCTTTCAAATTTTCAGTACCTGCAGTATTTACTTTTCTTTGAGGGGAAGATCTGCGCGCTGAAAGTTCACAGCAACTCAAATAACTCCCATCTAGGGTAATAGCAAATTAACAAGTGGCTGTAAAATAGTTTACCAGGAAGTTCAAAAAATTCTACGAAATGATACATTTTCATTGATTTAGGCCAATCGGTCAGATTTTAACAATAGTGACAACAACAAAATGTCATCATTTGTACTTCAGTGCTGTTTTGAAATTGAGAGTAAATCCTGGAACCTGCATAGGCATAATTAAACCCCAAAATCTAGAATTTTCTAACAGGAATTCTAACCTCCTCATAAGCTGTGCTGTTAAATACTCCAGCTTGTGATCAATTTGAAATCGTTGAACTAACAAGAAAAACTTGCCAAGTATAGGCAAATTACTGCAGATGCTGGAATCTGTACTGAAAATAAAAAATGCTGGAAATCAAAGATGGTGAAGAGTCATCTAGACTTGAAATGTTAGCTTATTCCCTCTCCATGGATGCTGCCTGACCCGCAGTGATTTCCAGCAGTTTTGTTTTCAGTCAAGAAAATTGTGCCCTTCTCTGCTACAATTTCACTCTAAAAACCTTGAAAATATGTTGTGTTGAATGATGCGCCTTTGGGATTCTACAACTGTGTCCGATTCATAATTATTGCTGGTCAACCTGAATAGCCCGAAAAACTAATTTCATATTTGTGAGGTATCAACTTTTTCTATTGTGATAAAAAAATCCATTTATTTTTAAAACCACTGTTTAAAAAGTTTTTTAATGCCATTTCAACTTGTACTTTAATTCCCTGCATATGACTTAATCCTTATTCTATTCTTTGGACAAAAATATGTTAATGTGAAGTTTAATCAGTGCATTTTACTTAAATAAAACAAAGAACTGAGAATGCTGGAAATCTGAAACAAAAACAGAAATAACTAGAGAAACTTGGTATGCCTGGCAGCATCTGTTAACAGAAAGCAGAGTTAACATTTTGGGCTCAGTGAACGTTAACTCTGCTTTTTCTTCACAGATGCTGCTTGACCTGCTGAGTTTCTCCTTTAATTTCTGTTTTTGAATGCATTTTACTTGCTGGTTTGAGAATACTTGAGTGTTATTGATTGCTTACCTTGCTTGCTGACATCACTATTACTGAATTCCTGGTGATCCCCTTGATTTGGTACAAGATTCGAACTACAGGTAAAGGTTTGAGTTATAAGGAGAGGCTGGGACTATTTTCCCTGGAGCTCCAGAGGCTGAGGGGTGACCTTATAGAGGTTTATAAAATCGTGAGGGGTTTGGATAAGGTGAATAGTCAAGGTCTTTTTCCAAGGGTAGGGGATCCAAAACTAGAGGGCATAGGTTCGAGGTGAGAGGGGAAAGATTTAAAAGGGAACTGAGGGGCAACTTCTTCACAAGGAGAGTGGTGCGCGTGTGGGATGAGCTGTCGGAGGAAGTGGTAGAGGCCGGTACAACTGCAGCATTTAAAAGAAATTTGGACAACTACATGGATCGAAAAGGTTGGACGGATATGGGCGAAATGCAAGCAAATGGAACTAGTTTAATTCAGGATACCTGATCGGCATGGACGAGATAGACTGAAGTGTCTATTTCCTTGCTGTATGACTTTATGAGTATAAGTAAACAGTAATCATTCAATGTTTATGGGCAACTTTCTTTGTGATCAATTGTGTTACTTCACCAATGACCATAAAATCTGGGCTATTACTAAACAGATATTGCATTTGGCAAATTTCTACGGTATGCCTCAACCGTCATAAGCACTTTTGCAACTCTAAACCCATTCAGAACTTATATTTCTTTTTGTCTAAGTTGTACTTTTGTATCTCTTTACACAATAATTACTCAGTACCTCATTTAACAAAAATTAAAAGTATACATGTTTTAATTGTGAAAGTTACTAAAAAGTCTTCTTTCTAACTTGTTTTATTTTAAAATGCATTTTAAACTGTACAACTGTATGCACCAATCCACAATTCCAAGGGGTGGCACAGTGGCTCAGTGGTTAGCACTGCTGCCTCACAGCACCAGGGACCCAGGTTCAATTCTACCCGTGGGCAACTGTCTGTGTAGAGTTTGCACATTCTCCCCATGTCTGCATGGGTTTCTTCCAGGTGTACCAGTTTCCTCCCACAGCCCAAAGATGTGTAGGCTAGGTGGATTAGGCATACCCAATTGCCCATAGCATTCTGGGATGTGTAAATTAGGTGTGTTACGGGGGGATGGGTCTGGGTGGGATACTCTGAGGGTCAGTGTGGACTTGTTGGGCTGAAGGGGCCTTTTTTCACACTGAAGGGGCTCTATGATAATAATACAGATCTTAACACTCATCATTCTATTTGCACTGCCTGAATTTATGTTGTGTTATATACATGCAGACCACAGCAAACACAAGGGAAGGTTCTTATGTTTTGAACTGACTGTCCTGTTTTGTCTCTTGTTAAGGAAATTGGAGGATTTCAATTCACATGCAGGGCAATGATAATGAATGTCAGATCATTTTGATAATAAGTGACTCTTCTGTTCCACCATTTTTACAGCCAGATAGTCACGGGTAAATATGATCCCAACTTGAGTTATTGACATTGGTCTATCTTTAATTGAGATATATTTGTACTATTCTACTTGTTGGCAGGGCGAATGACACAGGACATCTTTCGTACAAAGATCATTTGCCTGTAACACAGATTGTCATTGGGGACACGGACAGAACACATTCAGAAGCTGCCTTTAGGATTGGACCACTTCGTTGCTATGGTGACAGTAAGTGTCAACTTTTATTTTAGGGACAGATTCTGTTCTAATGATGCCAACTTCAACAAAGGGGCCTCCGAAATGCCCACGTTCTTCTTCAACCAAGAATTCCCCAGCCCTGTAATTGACAGGGAACTCAGCTGTGTTTGACCCTTCTCTGGCACTTTGGCCCTCACCCCCCTCCCTCCCATGACAGCGATAGGGTCCCCCTTGCCCTTACCTACCAACTCACCACCATCCACAACCAAAGGATCATTAGCTGCAATTTCCGCCACTTCCAGCGAGATGATGCCATCAGACTCATATTCTCCTCCCCTCCGCTTCCAGCCATCCACAAGGACCACTCCTTCTGGGACACCCTGGTCCACTCCTCCTTCACTCCCACATGCCCCCACACTCCATGGCATCTCCCCATCCAACCGTAGAAGGTGTAACACCTACCCATTTACTTCCTCCTTCCTCACCATCCAAGGCCCCAAACACACCTTCCAGGTGAATCAGTGCTTTACCTGCACTACACTCAATCTAGTCTATTGTATTCACTGTTCACAATGTTGTCTTTTCTACATTGGGAAAACGAACCGCAAACTGAGTTACCACTTCACAGAACATCTACATTCTCTCTGCAACAAAGACCCTGAGCTTCCAGTTGCTTGCCACATCAACACTCCACTGTGTTCTCTGGCCAACATCTCTGTCTCAGCCTTGCTGCAGTGCTGCAGCAATGCTCAGTGCAAGCTGGAAGAATAGCACCTCCTTTCCTGCTTGGGAATTCTGCAGCCTTCTGGACTCAATATGGATTTCAACAAATGTAGAGCTTGAGCACGTTTCCCCACACTTTCCCCTAACCTCATACACAAGATCTTGTTATCACATGGTCTGCTATTACACACATTCCATTGTTATCTACTAGTAGTCCCTATTTGCAGCTATTCATTCTCCTAGGTTGATCTTTATCAAGCCGTTGTCTGTCCAATTGGTTTTCTCTCTCTTTCGGTTCTATCTCCATTGTTTACTCCTTGCCCTCTCTCCCCCCTCTATCTTCTGTATAAAACCCAACTTTTTCCTAGCTGCCATCAGTTCTTAGGAAAGGTCACTGGACCTGAAACATTAACTCTGATTTCTCTCCGCAAATGCTGCCAGACCTGCTGAGCTTTTCCAGCAATTTCTGTTTTTTTTTACAGGTTCATGAAAGTTATCAACTGTTGATAGCAGTCAACAATGCCTTGTATTAATTTCCTGCTTGCTTATCTGTCTAAAAAACAACCTATTGCTTCTTTTTGAGATGCTTATATCACTCCTTATTTTTCAAACCCTGAATATTTTTTGCTCGATATAATTAAGCATGAAGAAAGTAATCAACACTTTGTACCTATAATAGGATAACAATCCAAAGTGTTCACATGTCATCATTGACTGTAAGCACAAAATTACACAAATGTTACAGCACATAAAGAGATCGTTCAACCTTCCTCTCTGTGCTTGGTGAGAAGAGTGCTCTCCTGTCTAATACCATCTTCTACTTTTGCCTGAAGCTTTGGAAATTATGGAGATTCAAGTACATGGTCAAGTGTTTTTTTTTCAATGTGATGCCTCCATTACCTGATGAAACAATGAGTTCTAGACACCATCATTGTGTGAGTTTAAAGTTTCCCATTGAACCCCTCTTTTAATCCTTCAATCGATTCCTTTATATCAATGCCTCTTGATTATCACTGCAGGGGATCACTACAGTCCAAAGATGTGCAGGCTAGGTGGATTGGCCATGCTAAATTGTCCATAGTGTCCAGGGGGTGTGTACATTAGGTGGATTAGCCATGGGAAATGCAGGGTTACAGGGACAGGGTAGGGGATTGGGTCTGGGTGGAATGCGGTTTGAAGGGTCAGTGTGAACTCAATTGGCCAAATGGCCTGTTTTCACACTGTAGGGATTCTATGATTCAATGATGATGATGATGATGATTGACATCAGCAAAAGGTAACAGGTCCTTCCGATTGACTTTAACTAAGTTCTTCAGAATTCCATATGCCTAAATTAAATCCCATCTCCTTAGTTCAAAGGAAAACAACCCAGCCTTTACTCATTAACGAAAATCCTTCATTTTTGGCAACATCCATGTAAATTTTCTCTGTATCCTCTGGTGCAATCACATCCTTTCAGTAATGTTGTGACCAGAAATGTAGGCATTACTCTGGCTGTGGTCTAATTAATGTTCTGTACAATTTTAGCTTAAAATTCCTTCTCTTGCACTCAAGACTTTGGCCAATGAATTGAAGCCTCACATATGCCTTCTTGACAATCGTCTCTATCCAGCTTCCTTCAGGGATGCGTTGACATGTTCATCCGTCGCTGTCTATGCTTCACAGAATCCTGTGATTTTTTTGTGTGTGTGTCACCTTGTCTCATTTGTCTTTCCCTGTTACCTATTCCCTATTACGTACCTCACACTTCTCTGGGTTGGAAACATCAATGCTGTTTTTTTTGTGGAATTGATGCTGAAAGCACACAAGGCGTGTTTTGGTTGGAGTGTCAAATTGCAAAAGCCAGTGAAGGAATACCTACAAATAAAAACAGCGGTGGATAACAGGTCAATTGGCACAGAAATGCTAGACAGCAGCAGATGGGTGACAGCGGTCTTCAATGCCAGGTTGAGGGATCAAGGGAGGAGAAATGGTGCAAGCAATAGGTGGGCAAATTGTTGCCTTGTCAACAGCAAGGTATCCTGATCTGCCTATCCCCATGAAGCCAATAGTCTCCTCCTTTAAGTTAGTGAGGGTTTGGATGGAGATTAGCCATTCCCTCTCTGATTTTAACCCTCTTCCCGTGAATATCACACAGACTTTCCTGCAGCCATGGAGAGAGTAAGTAAATGGTTGTTCAGATGTGTGCAGCACCTTCCCATAGTGTGCCTGCTGAGCCAGACTGAAGCAGCAAGAGGTGAGGATTTATGGGTCCAAAGTAGTTACCTGCATAAAAGTCACATCATTGTGAAATAAGAAAGCTATCCACAGTGGTGAAACATTGCTAATATGAGGGTTCTGCTATAACGCGTGTTCCGGCAACACAAATTGGCGATAACATGATTGACAAATAGGGGAACAGTATTTTAAAACGCAAACTCGTGTTGGCTATAACACCATTCTATTGAGTATGGTTTGTATGTCATAAACATGAAATATGATATCACATAGAGAACAACTGTCTTTTTTGGAAAATGTGTGAAATCTTAATTTGAAGAGTTTATGCTGAACACATTAAATGCATCAACACTGTTTAAAAATGCAGCTCATTTAAATAAAAGAATGGACTCCAATGCTAAATTGACGGGATAAGTAAAAAATGAAGCATAGTTTAAAATAATATAGGTGCTGTTAAAACATGCACCTTTCCATGTAGTATATTTGCCTAGATTTTGTTATATATTTAATATTAATGAATTTTTGAACTTGCTCATGGAAATCAATATAGCAAAAGTTGTCTGTGTTACAACCTGCTCTTTTCCAGCACTATTCTGAATACAATGTTACTCAGGTTTATAACACATTTAAATCCTACAATTAACTTCAATGTCAATGGGCTACATAGGAAAGAAAGGTCAGATTCCTCTGCTTCACTTATCTGAAAATCTACCCAGAAGTTTGTGCCGATTGAATGTCAGGTCAGATCAGCATTTAAATGGTCGAGGAAATTTTACTAAAAATTGCTGATGTGTCAATTTCAAGGGAGTTTCATGGAGGGTTGCTGGCTATGAGCTCTATCTCACAATTTTGCACTGCTCACCTCTTTTGGATTATGCTCGCACTATCAAGCAGTACTGACCATTGCTGGGACTTCCAGTGGCAGAGCTCTATTTAAAGCCCAGCTGTCACTTCATTGCAAATACCAGGTCAGATTCGTAAATGTATTGCCTCTTTGCAGCATCACCTGTCTGATAAACTGTCATTATAACTACAGCTATAAAAATGAAGCTAACAGGTGAGGAAGAATTTTGGAAAATATTAGAGATACAAAGTGCCCTTTGTACCCCTAACCCTCCTTTTCCCATAGGCCCCATTATTTATAAAGCGTGATTTTCTCTAACACAATGTTGTGCTGGAACACAACTCTCGCGTTATAGCAGAATCCCCTATATATGATGAGTGATTGAAATGGTAAGGAGAAAGTCAGCGTAGCTTTTTGAGAGGAAAATCATGTCTCACAAACTTGATTGAGTTTTTTGAGGAAGTAAACAAAAAGATTGATGAGGACAGAGCGGTAGACTGTGTTTAATTGGATTTTAGTAAAACCTTTGACAAGGCTCCACATGGTAGACTAATTAGCAAAGTTTGATCAAGTGTGATTTAAGGTGAGCTTGCCAATTGGATATAGAATTATCTTAATAGCAGGAGACAGGGAATGATGTTGGAAGGTTCTTTTTTGGACTGGAGACCTGTGACCAGCAGTGTTCCATAGAAATCAGTGCTGGGTTCACTTTTGTTTGTCATTTATATGAATAATTTGAATGCAAATATAGAAGGTATGGTTAGTAAATTTGCGGATGACACCAAAATTGGTGAAGAAGGTTATCTAAGATTACAAAGAGATCATGATCATTTGAGTCAATGGGTTGAAGAGTGGCAGATGGAGTTTAATTTGGATAAACACAAGGTATTGCATTTTGGTAAAACAAATAAGGGCAGGACTTATACATTTCAAAGTAGGGCCTTGGGTAGTGTTGTAGAACAGAATTATAAAAAGACAAGGGGCAACTTTTTTACACAGAGTGGTTCGTGAGTGGAATGAACTGCCAGTGAAAGTGGTGGATGCAGGTAGAGTTACAACATTTAAAAGATATTTGCGTAAGTACATGAATAGGAAAGTTTTAGAGGGATGTGGGCGAAATCCAGGCAGGTGTGACTAGAATAGTTTGGGAACATAGTTTGCATGGACTGGTTAGACTGAAGGGTCTGTTTCTGTGTTGTATGACAATGACTCTATGAGAGTTGGTACTATATCCTTCTGAGCAGGAAAAAAAAAGATGCAGTGCAGGTGAACTTGCATCTGGATCAGGCTCAATAAAATGATAAGAAAAGCTGACAAGAGACTTCATGTCCCACCTTATAGCTTGGCCTATCTTTAAAAATTCCGATAATGTTGGTGATGCAGTATAAGATAATGCCTGTTATAAGGCTTTGCTTCTAATCAAGGGCAACAGAAGCAGTGTGTATAAATTGGTTGCTGTGTTTCATAAAAATGTAAGAACAGAGGCAAGAACAGGCCATTGACTTTTCACAATTGCTTTGCCATGCAGTAAGATCTGGCTGCTCTACTATCTGAACTTCACTTCTCACACTATCCCCATTACATCCTTTACGATAGTTTCTTATATTAAAACAGTGAACACACTTGAAAAAAAAAACAAGAACTTCGTTGGCTGTAAAATGCTTTGGGACATCCTAAAAATGTGAAAGGTTCTTTCAGGAAAGAAGAAAACTAGAACAAACAAACAATTAAAGTAGCTGCCAAGTTATAGTTCAATATTTAAAAAGAACCATATTTGAACTTCGTTTTTACTTATCCAGGAAATTACTGGAATGCAGCATCGTTCAACACTGAGTCTTCATATCTCCATTTCCCCACGTTCCATGGTGAGCTCAGTGCGGATATTTCATTTTTCTTCAAAACGACTGCTTCCTCGGGTGTATTCCTGGAAAATCTTGGAATTAAGGACTTCATAAGAATTGAGCTGAACTGTAAGTAAGGAGGAAATTATGTTGGATGTTGAATATAGAAAAATACAGTCTTTTGCCTTGTTAAAACTGCCTTCATACAGAAGTAAGGCAAAATGGACCAGAATAAATATTGCCCTTGGAATAGTTTCACAGTATCAGAAACCATATATAAGATATTCAGTCTTGTAGTTGCTGACAGGAACCCATACCAAAATAGTTAACAGGATGAATAAAGGTTTCAAATTGAGCTTGATGTTTTTTTTTAAATCAAATCTCTCTCTTACTCTCCCGGAAATGTTTTCACATCATGGGGTGTGAATCAAAGGCACTCAACAGCCATCTCACACTTCCTCCAAGAGGCTATTTTCCATTTTATTTTTTCATGGTAAGTAGGCATTATTGATGAGACCAACATTTGTTGCTGTCCCTAATTTCCCTTGAATTGAGTGGTTCATTTGACCATTTCAGAGGGCAGTTAAGAGTTGACAACATCGTTGTGAGTCTGAAGTCATAAGTAGGCCAGATCAGCTAAGGACTACAGGTTTCCTTCCCTAAAGACCAGATGGGTTTGTATGACAAATGACACTAGCTTCATGGCCTGAGACTATCTTTACATTGCAGATTTAATAACTGCAGTTTCAAAATTCTGTTTACGGGTGAGATTTAAACCCATGTCCCCCAAAGCTGCTATTGTGTGAAGCCTGTGCAAGTTAGGCAGTGATTCAGTGTGATGTATTCTGACTAAACTCATGCTGAGCCCAATTAAAAGTTGTTAATTAAATCCATAAGTCCAATTCAGCCCCTTAACACTGTTCATAAGCCTGTTCTAAAGGCATGAAATGCAGTTAACCCCAGTTTAATCAAACAAAGAGCATGCTAAGATTTTTAAAGACTGCTCTGGTGGTGCTGGGGCAATGTCCTTATCTTTCAGCCAGCAGATCTAGGTTCAAGTCTCGCCTGTCCACGAAGGGGTGTCCTAACATATGTGGACAAGGTCAGAAATCACACGACACCAGGTTATAGTCCAATAGGCTTATTTAAAACACAAGCTTGTGTTTTCAAATAAACCTGTTGGGCTATAACCTGGTGTAATATGATTTCTGACCTTGTCCACGCAAGTCTAAGACTGGACCTCCACATTGTAACATATGTGAACAGGGGGATTAAAATATATTTTCTCAATTATCCCTTTTAAAGTGGAGAAGAAGAATTCAATGCACGCTTCTCATCAACGCAAATTCGAGCTGGGTTTTCTGAGGGCTGGTAATCATACTCAAATTGCCTCTCCTCTCCTTTTCTTACATTCAGAAAGAGCTCTGCATTTCTGTCAGGAGATTCTAATCAAGGTTCCTTCAAAATTTTGGAGCATACTTTAAATCTGAGCGGTCCCTTATGGGGAGCATAGGCAAGGGAAGGATAACTACAAGAGATAGTAAGAACTGCCGATGCTAGAGTCAGAGATAACACAGTGTGGAGCTGGAGGAGCACAACAGGCCAGGCAGCATCAGAGGAGCAGGAAAGTTGACATTTCGGGTCGGGATCCTTCTTCAGGATTGGGGGAGTGGGAAGGGAGCTCAGAAATAAATATAGAGGAGGGGTGGGGCTGGGGAAGGTAGGTGGGATGGTGAAAGGTGAGTACAGGAAGGCAGTAGTGGGGATTGGGTCAGTGAAGTGGGGGGGGCGGATAAGTGGGAGAGAAACTACAAGCAGTTTCTCACAGTAGTCAGCTACTGGGTTCTGTGATTTTAATGTCTGGCATCATAGACAGCCACTTTAACTGCTCCTATGGATGGATAAGTATGTAATGAAAAGAACAAAGTTAGGGTGCCAGGAGTGCAGAGTGCCAGCTAAATAGAAAGCCAGGTGTTAATGGGCCCAGGCAGGTAGGATGCCAGGTGTGTGAGGTGCCAGACAGGTAGAAGGTATGGTGTCAGTGCAGCAGGTCAGTAGGGGCCCCAGGGCATGAAGTGGGAAGGAGGTTATGCAAATAATGGAGTTTTTAGGGTAAGATTGGGTGGGCAAGCAACATCAGGTCCAATGGTGGCTGGGTGGCAGTGCTGTGTCGGAGATTGGGTGGGTGTCTGCTCCTGAGGAAATGGGAGGTTGATGTGTCCCACGGTGGGATGGGGGTGAAGGGAGGGTTGAGGGTAGGGTGGAGGTGGGTAGGGTCTGTCGGGTTGTGGGGGAGCTCTTTGGCTCCAGCAGGGTGTCAGATTCCAGTTGTAGAGAGGTGTGTGGGGTCCTAGGGTCATGGGGGGTAGGAGGTGGTGGGAGGTGGTATTGGTGTGTCCAGCCATGGGAGGGGGGGGCGTGGGTATTGAGTCCATTGGCAGGGGTTAGAGGGTATGGTCAGGAGACAGTCACATATAATGCTGGAGTTGAGGTTAGCTGTTAAGTCCTGAAGGAGTAGAGTGTCCATGTTCGATCCCAGGATAGGGTGGAAGGGGCTGTCAGCTCTGGTGGTGGGTGTGAGCCGTCCTTGTGGTGGTGGGAGTCATGTTACTTAGTGACGGTAGAACTCTCCAAATTCTCTGATTTAAACAGATCCTTTCAGAGGGTTGCAAGCACAAGGGAATTGCCCAGTGGAATCTTCAATTTCCGGGTCAATTTCCTCGGAATTTGGTACATTGATGATTCACAGGGTCCTGAGGCACAGCTGCCATCTTTGCTGCAGAAATGAGTATCCAACCATTGGAAATCTGGGCCAATATATTGTTTATATTATATGCAATAATGTATTGGACTAAATAACTGAAAGAACGTGTGTTAAAATCCCATCACAGCAATGGAAAATGTGAGCTTTGATGAGCCAAAAAATTGGAAATAAAGAAAAATTCAGCCAACAAGGCTGTTGGATTCTCCTAAAAACTAAACTGGTCTGCTGATACTCATCAGGGAATTACATCCTTATCCTGTCTGCCCGAGAAATGAGCCCAATCCCACAATGGAGTGTTTGATTCTTAACTGCTCTCTGGTATGACCATTCAGAACACTTGGTTGTATTCAAGAAACAGCTCACCAACACTCTCTCAGTGCGTTGTAGCCACGGTCAAATACCAGTTTTGCCAGTAATGCCCATATTTCAGGAATGAACTTTGTAACAACGCCTTTTGTTGCAATTTTGTCACACTGATAAAATACAGGCTATTCATCTTCAAAATTTCATTGGCTAACTTCAAAGACTTGGACTTTGAAGTTGTGAGAAAAACAAGGTGGGGCATTTTAAATTGATCCACACCCTGTAGAGGTTATATAACTGCTTAAAAGGGAATTAAAATGAATCGCTTGGAATGTACATGTCATCATGAGAACATCAATTGTCTCTGCCCTGAGAACAAATATTGCTGGGGGACCGAACTCCGAAATTTGTTCCACAAAGAGGGAGATTGACCCCTGCACCCCCTCTCAACCCCACCACCACCACCACCATTACCACCACCATCAATTTCTAAGGATCACAGGGAACTCTGGCGTTGGAACATCAAAACTTTTTTCAGAAATGGATTGTCTCCCTTGTAGGCCAACAACCAGCTTTGAGACCCCCAACACATGAGAAGCCATGATTATAGGCCTTTAGTTTTTGCTACTGTGGAGATATGTCCAGGAATATAGAGTAACATCCAAGAACTTGCACTGACATGAACTACAATTACTCTTCCTCTCTCTTGCTTCCGCTCCCATCATCCATCACCCCCCAACCCCACCCCCACCCCACCTCTCTCTCTGATGTTCGGTCCTGCCAAACTACAGTGGCCTCAGGTTAAAAGCTTACACCTCTAAGACAAACAAAGAACCCTAAAGGATAACAAGGTGCAGGGCTGGATGAACACAGCAGGCCAAGCAGCATCATAGGAGCAGAGAGGCTTTGCAGAACACCTACGCTCGGTTCGCAACAAACAACTGCACCTCCCAGTCGCGAACCATTTCAACTCCCCCTCCCATTCCTCAGACGACATGTCCATCCTGGGCCTCCTGCAGTGCCACAACGATGCCACCCGAAGGTTGCAGGAACAGCAACTCATATTCCGCTTGGGAACCCTGCAGCCCAATGGTATCAATGTGGATTTCACAAGTTTCAAAATCTCCCCTCCCCCCACCGCATCCCAAAACCAGTCCAACTCGTCCCTGCCTCCCTAACCTGTTCTTCTTCCCACCTATCCCCTCCTCCCACCTCAAGCCGCACCTCCATCTCCTACCAACCAACCTCATCCCGCCCCCTTGACCTGTCCGTCCTCCCTGGACTGACCTATCCCCTTCCTAACTCCCTACCTACACTCACCTTTCCTGGCCCCATCCCCGCCTCTTCGACCTGTTTGTTTCCTCTCCACCTATCCTCTCCTCTATCCCTCTTCTATCCGCCTCCCACTCTCTCCCTATTTATTTCAAAACCCCCTTCCCCTCCCCCTTTTCTGATGAAGGGTCTAGGCCCGAAACGTCAGCCTCTCTGCTCCTATGATGCTGCTTGGCCTGCTGTGTTCATCCAGCCCTGCACCTTGTTGTCTCAGATTCTCCAGCATCTGCAGTTCCTACTATCTCTAACCCTAAAGGATATATCCTTTATCCTTTTATCTTGTATGTGTGCATAAGCGCCCGAGTATATGAAAGCCGTATGCTTAATGTTGCATTTTTCATTACCTTCCTTGGGTTTAGTTGTTAATAAATTGGATCTTTGACTCAAGAAAACCTTGTTGATTGCCTCCATACTGCTCACAGCAAAAATAATAAGCTACATTTTTTTCTAATTAGATGGAGGCATAGCCTTGTGCAAAAAGAACTTAAAACTTTTTTTGTGACTAATCTATGAGGTTGAACAGAGAGGGGAGTTTGCTCTGTCTCTTCTGGCTGATACAATGCAAGTATTTTTTATAGACAAAAATGTTTGTCTCTTTAAAAGATACAAACTGCTAGGAGAAATTAAATTAAAATGATCTCTCCATTCATAATTTATTCCACTCAGGCTCTATTTGTGATTTGTGATGTGACCCAAATTAGACATGAATAATAAATCCATCCCTTGTGCTATTTTCCAAGGATGGGTCATTGTTAATACACCGGGGACTAATTGCATTTTGTCAGGAAAGGAACATAAACAACTCATTCTGTCTAGTGCGGGAACCTTTCATTCAGGTCAAAGATAGTTACCTTTGTTTGTATCCTTGTGATTCTTGTTTTTCAGCTCCAACTGAAGTGGTTCTTTCATTTGATGTGGGTAATGGGCCATTTGAGGTGACTGTGAAATCACCTACGCATTTGAACGACAATCAGTGGCATTATGTTGAAGCAGAACGAAATATCAGAGAGGCTTCCCTTCAAGTAGATCACCTACCAAGGAAAGCTCAAGAGGCCCCTTCTGATGGACACATCCAGTTGCAGCTCAGTAGTCAGCTGTTTGTAGGTAGGAGTACATTGTTTGTTACTGGCCTCTCATTCTTTGTGACAGTGACACATTGATGGCAAGGTCCATTCAATTCAGAGAGCCATATTTTTCCTTTGCATTATTTAGGTGGTGTAAGTATGTACAGTGTAAAAGGTGAACACATATAGCTCAGTGAGCTGAAGGCAAGTTCATTGTAGTAATGAGATAACCAAGAAACAGGCTTGTGTGTATCTGATTTAAAATGACCACTTCCAATTTACATAAAAAGCTAACATTATTGATTTTAATACTTGTTGCCATCATGTAGTAGTCTGAGTGTATTCCCACATTAAATATATCACACTCTGAGAATGATTAATGTATAGATTAAAATTTGATAATGGTAGAATTTTGAGTAATTTATGGATGACAAGTGCAATAACTGGGAATGATGACCCATGTGAACAGGAGGTGCCAGCAAAAAATAATGAACATCATCTGTACTGTTCAGCTATAAAGCATAAAAATGTTGACATTTTGTTTGAATCTACAATTACAAAGAGTCTTTATGGTTTCCCAGTAGTTCCTGTGATTACTAAGGGTTGCATTTTCATGGAGTTTCATAGAGATGAGAAAATGCCAAACAGCATCTGATTCCAGAATTCCTGAATTCATTCCTGGACTTTCTGACTTCCACCAGTGCACAGTTGAAGTATGCAGCCTGCTTCACAGCACAAACCCACAGTCAGTACACCCAACTTGTCTTGTTCCACTGTGGGATAAGCATTGTCTAGTCCTCTGCAGTTTTCATGGAGTCAGGTCAGCTTTTAAGGACTTATAATTCATGGTCCCTCATAAATCTCCATGCCAAGCTCTGGCTGTCTATCCACCTCACCCAAGACCCCTGATACCCTCCATTCTATAACACTGTAGACCTATACTTCAGAAACAATGAAGCATATAATGATGATAGGATTTTTTAAAAAAAAGAATCTTTCCAGTGTCAATCATATTAACTCTTCAAGGAATCAGTAACAGAAACTGTGAGCACATGAAACTCTTTCAGTTATTAAGCATTGGCAGAATGCCTGAACCTAAGCCAACAATTAATTCTTTCCCTTGTTGGTGTGCATTTGTCTCCAGCAGGATGTTTCACCTGCTGCAGGAATGATTTTGTTGTCTCCCATAACATAAGAATCTGGACATGGATATTGTGGTATTAAAGAATCTAATAGACAGTCATTACTATTACATGCAAATATTATGTCCTTCAGGCATATCGGTGTCTGGACTAATATTAATGTATTAATTTAAATAAAGCAGCATATTTCCAGTAGTGTGTCATACTTCAAATGATGTGAGGTAAGGAGGGGTATGAGATTTTTGTGTTCTCGGGTTATGTGCTCTGTGCAGTCTGATGTATTAGCATGTCTTTTAAACATATAGTGACACAGTGTGTCTCTTAAATGTCATGATTTCAACTGATGGTAATATTGGACCGGTCATATTTCAGAATGATGTCTGGCTTAATAGATCATATTTTTAATTTTTCCCATTGGTTAATACAGTGGTTAGTCATGGAAATAAGTGCATTCCATACCATAACTGCTTGCTGTGTGAAAAAAATAATTACATCACTCTTGCTTCATTTATGTATTACTTTAAATCTATGCCCTCTCGTTCTCTTTTTTTTTATGAGCAAGAGCAGCTTCTCCCTATCTACTTTATCTGTTTATTTTTTATTCATTCATGGATGAGGGCATTGCTGGCTGGGCGGCATTTATTGCCTAAATGGCAATTAAGAGTCAACCACATTGTTGTGGGTCTTGAGTCATATGTAGGCCAGACCAGGTAAGGATGGCAGTTTCCTTCCCTAAAGAACATTAGTGAACCAGCTAAGTTTTCCTGATTCATTGTCATCATTAGATTCTTAATTCCAGATATTTATTGAACTCAAATTCCATCATTTGCCATGGCGGGATTTGAACACTCTTCCCCAGAGCATTTTCCCGGGTGTCTAGATTAACAGTCCAATGATAATACCACTAGGCCATCACCTCCCCAATCTATCTTGCTTGTGATTTGGAAACCACTGTCAAATCTCCATTCAGCCTTCTTTTGAAGGAGAAAAAACCTCAGATTCTTCAAACTTTTCTCATAGCTGAAGTTTCTCATTCCTGGAATTCTTGGAAATCACTTCTGCACTGTATCAAATGCACTCACAACTTTCATTGAATGTGCACGCACAACTGTAACACAATACTCCAGCTGAGATCTATCAAATATCTTGTACAAGTTCAACACCATCTCCCTGCTCTTGTACTCTATTAAAAAAGTTGACAACACTGTCTGCTTTATTTATTGCTCTCGCTCCTGAACCTACCACATCAATGGTCTCTGCATATATATCCCTAGATCCATCTGCCCCTTTCACCCCTTTTAGAACTATACTTTTTAAAAAAATGTCATTCAGTGTTCTTCCAACTAAAACCTTTTGCAATGAACCTCATCTGCCAACTATCCTCCCACTCTACCAACTTGTCAATGTTATTTTTGAGTTCAGGATAAAAATGAACTGTTTTTGTCAGGTTTCAAGTTTGTTTTGACTGCAGAGAACAGAGACAGCTCCTGTGCTGGTGGGGTTCATAACCCTTCTCTCTGTCATGATTCCAGCCCCAAGCTGTTCAGTTACTGAGAACCAATCACATGCTGTTGGTAGACAGAAATAGTTTGGTCATCAATAACTGGTCACTAGTCCATCGACACAGAGCTAGTGTGTGAAATAAACTGCGAGAGGAGGTGGTGGATGCAGGTACAGTTACAACATTTAAAAGACATTTTGATAAGTATATGAATAGGAAAGGTTGGAGGGATATGGGCTAAAGGCAGGCAGATGGGACTAGTTTAGTTTGGGAACATGTCGGTGTGGACTAGTTGGACCAAAGGTTCTGTTTCTGTGCTGTATGACTGTATGATTCAATGACTAATCAACTTTTTTGTTCCTACCCACTTTTATCTCTACACATAACCCCAAGGCTTCAGTTTACCTACAACCCAAACTTCAATTGCTGCTTGTTCAAAGAGCTGGTTTTATAATACTTGCCATAACTGTCAGTTTATTTTCAAAACATTTAGCAACTTTTCTTATTTCAGTTCACAATCTTAAGAAAGCACAAAAATTAAAAAGCCCTGCTTTTTTTTTTAGAGTGGAGAGGTGATGTACTCTTGGAGATAGCAAGAACTGCAGATGCTGGAGTCAGAGTCTGTACAGCGTGGAGCTGGAGGAACACAGCAGGTATGGAAAGTCCTGATGAAGGGTGTAAACCCAGAACATCGACTTTCCTGCTCCTCTGATGCTACCTGATCTGCTGTGCCCCTCCAGCTCCACACTATATTGGGTGATGTACTCTACCTACTCCAGACAATGCTGTTGATACGCTCGCTCTAACTTAAGTAAGTTACCATGGTCTGCCCTCTTTACAAATTACTTGGAGACATAGGTAAGAGCTGAGGATACTGGGATAGAAATGAGTATTACTCACATTCTTAGACCTGTCACAGAGCCCTGCATTTAGAGACTGTCACTAAATAAGTAATCCTGAACCCTAGGCTGATACTTTGGGGACATGTGTTCAAATCCCACCATGGGACTTAAATTCCATTCATAAATCTGAAATTAAAAGCTAATCTCAGTAATGGTGGCTGTGAAATTGTTGATTGTCATGAAAACCTATCTAGTTCACTAATAGCCTTTACAGACAGAATCTGTCATCCTGGTTTGTGGCTGACTAATAACTACCCTCTGAATTGTACTAAACGATCATTCAGTTCAAGTGCAAGTAGGAATGGACAACAAATGCTGTCACTTTCTAGCAAAACCCACTTCCAATGTATGTAGGTGCACCACACAATGAAGAATGCTTCTATTAATTACAAAAGGAATTGAACATAACAATAAGGACATTAGACTTCAGTTAAGTAGGCCACTGGGGAGACCACATCAAGAATATTGTGTGCAGTTTTTGGTCTTCTTATTTAAAGGAGAATGTAAATGCATAGGAGAAGTTTCAGAGGAAGTTTACTCAATTGATACTTGGAATCGGTGGGTTGTGTTTTCAAGATAGATTGGATAGACTGGGTTTGTTTCCACTGGAGGTTAGAAAAGTGAGGGGTAACTTGATTAAGTATATGCAACCTTGAATGGTCTTGACACGGTGGACACAGAGAGGATGTTTCCACTTGTAGGACAGTCCAGAACTAGGAGACACTGTTTTAAAATTGGGCATCTCACTTTCAGGGCAGAGATGAGGAGAAACATTTTCTCTCATGGTTGTATCTCTTTGGAATTCTCTGTCTGAGAAAGCAACGCAAATGAGACGCAAACCTTTTTGAAGACATTGATGGATAGATTCTTGTGCGACAGGGAGATTAAAGTTATTGGGGATTGATGGGAGCGTGGATTTCAACACATAAATGTATCTCCATTCAATAAGATCATAGCAGGAGCCTCAAGGAACTGTATAGTCAATTTTTGCTCCTATTTCATTTATTCGTAGGTTTGAATCAAAAATAGGTAAAGATAAACCCCATAAACCTTTGCTCTATCCATTCATGTTCTAGGTGTTGAGTTAGCACAAGTAAGAGCAGAGACCTGTGTAAATCAGTTCCCTCGAGAGGAGATTCCCACAAAATAGCTTCATGCATCACACAGACTGAAACAAATTCCATTTTCACTGCTTAAATGGTGATCAATGATTAACAAGTAATGCCATCAGCTTCTGATGTTGTCTGTGAATAGATTTTTCTTCGTCGTCTGTCTCCAATGAGTATCGGCTGCAAGTGATCCAACAAGATTGTTGACTCAGTGATAGTAATGATTTTACGTAAACCTCATTTTGTTGCATGAGTTAACTTCAAGCAAAGCCAAAACATTTCCTGAAAAAGCCTGAATTAAAATTTATCAAGAAAGGGCTTTTTTTAAAAATACAATTATTATTTTGCGATGCAGCTATGCATTGTAATGCAGGCACATCTATACA